GTTTCAATTCAAAATTTGTTAAGTAACACCTTTTTTGAACTTTAAACAATAAACAGGACAGAWTATCACAGCTGAGCCAGTAATTACAATTCTCAGCCAAAGGCTATACCATGTGTTTTTCACAATCATATCAATCTCTAAATGCATGTACATGTACCTACCTGGTATGTTGTCCAGTAGTTTTCGCTGTTYAACAGGAATAAAAACAAATTGATGTCTTTCGACAAAGGAATCTGTTATGGCTTTAATATCAAACGCCTTGTTTTCATCAAGCACCAGTTTCTTATTATTATCYCTTTGAAGAAGCTGTACAAGCTGCTTGAGCTGGAAGTGTTTTTTTATTCTCACTTGAAAGGGTGAATGAGCAGCACTATTGATGAGCTCCGAACCAAATTGAGAGCTTTTTTCACTGCCTTTGAACGTGAACTTGTTGACAATCAACAGATGTTCCCACACTCCCTGGAATAAGAATAGCATTAATAGATATTGATAATGTAAAAGTTTAAGCATGTTTCACACTTTAAGTTGTGTTAAACAGTAGCATACTACCTGGGGGGAGGGGGGGCGGTACTCTTGCCTGTTTAGGGTAGGGATGTGCCGCTGAGCCCTCTGAACCCTAACCCTGTTCCAGAGTAAAATCACTGAAATTCATACCCTGTTCCAGAGCAAGATCGCTGAAAATCATACCCTGTTCCAGTATTGCAAAAATGGATACCCTAGTCCAGAGAGGAGAGAGCGTGATTTCATATACCCTGTCCCAGAGCGAGCGCAATTTTATATACCCTGTTCCAGAGTAGAATCGCTGAAAACCATACCCTGTTTGGCAGCACGTACCCGTATAGCGAATATAGGGGAGTACAACCCCCCCCCCAGCATACTACGAGACTGGTTTACTGCAATTCTCAATATTCTGCAAGCTCAGACATTTCAACAGCTAAATGTCTATACAAACAATACCAAGAAAAATAGCAATATTGGTGTGATGTTGAGGAAATGTTTGTTCAAAACCAAACTTCGCCCGAAATTTATCCAGTATTAAAAGTTACATTCCGACAATGTTKGCTAAATGTCATCTCAAATATTGGGACCATTTGCAAGGGTGTTTAAAGAAAGATAAGAATTCTGTCAGTGGTACTGAACTGATTCTTATGGGCTGGCAGTAACTGTGGTGCGACAGAGGTGACCCATTATAAAGCCCATACAAATCAGACGCAAATGTTTTCAATTGCTTATCAATATTAGAGAGACAATGCAACAGAAGTGTGAAGTTGCAGCTTGTGAAAGCCACCAACTGTGTCACACTACACATTCTAAATAGTCCCCTTCACAGTTCCCGGCATTATCTTGAAAGGTAAAGGTGGCTGTGCAACAAAGTGAAAATGGAGTTGAGCTTGCATTGATTGAGTGAATAACTGTCCAAGGTRKTTAAAAAAGTCTTTTTCAAGKCTAATTTGAAGTTCATTGTAGCTCTCAATTCAATGCACAGGCACAGTTACCTTTCAAGATGTTGCAGAGAAATGTGAAGGGTACTATTCAATCAGTGAATATTAYAGCTATTTCAAAAAAGGTTGAAGGGGCAAACGTTTGATCGGGGATTCCAAGACCAAAAGGAAATGTGGACATAATCTAAACCAGAATAATCACGGTGTTTTTTATAATAGCTTCATATAAACTATATCAAATATCTCAACAATAACCTGTGTTCTTGACCTGAATAACAATTTCAGCTACAATGTATTCTTGAAAATTGACCTGCCAATCGTTATTTGCCGAACCCAACCTTTTTTGAAATAGCTGTATATYGCCATRTTCTGACTTTGAACAACCCAAAGTTGTTTCAGGGTATCAAAAAAAAAATTAAATGAGGATTTGGAATTGTTTAATTTAGTTTATTAGAGGGGGAAAACCAGAATGTACAGAGAATATAAAACTGGAAAGATTTRCATACTGGTATACCTTTGCATAATTCACTTGTGGTACGACTCTGTACTCATTCAAAAATATGAGACCTCCTTTGATRTCACACAGGGAAAACTCACACATATTGGATGGCGATCTACGAAAATACAAAAATATATTTAACAATTTTAGACATTTTAGCTTGAGCGTAAAATTTTTTTCCATTTCAGACCAATTATGTCATTAAAAAAATAA